TGGGTTTTCCCCTCTGCATCCTCGCTTGATCCACCTTGTCCTTTGATAGTTTCTGTGACTTGCTGTTTAGGCTCCAATATGGCAGCTTTCCATTTTGACTTGTCTCTATGATAAGGCAGGAGCTGTCAGTGAAGACAGTGTGTCCCCTCTCACTTTCTGGTGGCTGGTTATATGGTGGGGCCTCCTTAGCATGTGCCACCTAATCCTCTTCCTCTTCAGATGATAGTCCAAAACACTCACCTTGAGGCCAGTTTGTGATAATTTCCAAGATCCCAGAATGATTAGGATTTTTTCCCATCTGAACTTGCTATGTGATCAGAGTGATCTGCTTACTCCAGGTAGCATTGTTGCATGATGTGTTGAAGGGATGTTCCCCTTGAACATTCTCCCTAGAACTTCCCCATGGTCATCTTACTGGGCAACTGGATTTGGTCTTATTTGGCCCCGCCTTAGGACAGGGGCGACTACTACTGGCTTAGGCTACTCATCTTGTTTGACTGCAGCCTGAGTGACTGTGGTGACTGCCAATTTGCTCTCCTTCTCTTCTGGTTGCAGCTGCTGCTGTATAGCAACAAGAAGCATACAAGTAAGCATTAACTAGGGCCCAGCACAGAGCAGTAAGTTGCCCCTCTCCGGAACTGACACAGCAATTTTATTTAAAATATTCTGCTACCTTATTAAAGTTTTGTATTTGTTCAGAGGGAGACTTCCAAACTATACTCCTGACACGTGGTATGAGACAGCACAGGCTTTCATGCTGAGGATAGTGGATATACCACGGAGGAGTTCCAAAAGAAGGCAAAAACCTGGTGGCTCTCTGGCATCGACCCCCTCTCCACAGCAGACAAACAGCTGGGCTGGAGCCTCTTGGTATGCTTTTTCTCACTGGCTCAGCTCCCCAGAGCGAGGGGCTGGAACGGGGCAGCCCCGCTCCAGCCGGTCCCACTCCTGCAGTCTTGGACCACCAGCTGTTCAGTTCACCTCAAGGCAGATGAAGGATTGCTGCTGCAGCTTCTTCAAGCCAGAGGAGGGAAAAGCTTTTTTGCCTGGGCCAACAAACCCAAACTGCACAGTGCCATGGAACGCCTAGGCAGTGAGGCTTCAAAAATGCCCACCAAAAGCCCAAAGCTCCCCCCTCCCCAGTCACACACAGTACCAATCCTAGGCTTTAAAAATACAGCAATCATTTTTGGACATAAAGTAGAGGACCATGGAATAGGCTATCATCAATAAGTCACTCCAAGACACCTCCCTAGGATCTCCATCCTGACTCCAAATGTGTTGTAGACTGTACAGAGGAGACAGAGCAGAACCAGCAAGGAGAATATGGTGTCCTGTCATGCCAGTGCACGCGACCTCAGGACTGGGCCACCTGGGAGTTGTGTGGCAGATGAAATAGGGACGAGAACAACGAGGATATCCAAAAAATAGAGAACTTTAATAATGAGCAAAAATAACAAAGGAAGCAAAAGCCATACACTGTATGGGATGATCCTTGAAGACAAGACAATGTGGCAAACTCAACAATATATCTGAGGGCAGAGAACCAATCATCAGCGGGAACTAAAAACATAAGCATGTATGGAAAATTTATCTAACCAATCAGAAACAAGAACTAGAAACATTGCCTAATATGGAATAACAGTGTTAACATAATAACTCCCATGATCCCATGCTTCTCACCATAAGCCAACGAGATGTTTCATTTCTTAATATCCTGCATCCCAAGGCCTTAAGTTGATGCCTTCATTATCGATGAAGGCTAGCTCCCTATCCATGCCAACCAGTTGAACTCCCACGGTGTCCGTAGCATCCCGAGAGAATTCAGCTTTCTCAAGAAGTGACGTGTCAGACTGAAGGGCAGGAGGTGAAAGGCAAAAGGAAAAATCATCTTCTCCTCTTCCCCCCACAGGCTGTGTGTGATTATGAATAAACCCCCAGGCACAGCAACCCAGATCAGGACAGGCAAACAACAATGAATACATTTACCAAACGATCTTCATTGCCTTTAATGTTATCATTCCATAAACTGGTAACACAAACTGTATCAACTGTATCTTGGTTCCTCTCCCTGATCTGAAGAACAGCACTATCACGGGCAGATCCTTCCACATATTTGGATGCATATACAAGGTTAGGTGCCACAGCACCATGATCAGACCAAGCAATGTGATAACCAGGGAGTTCTGTACCCAATGTAGAAATTATTTGGTCAAATTTGTTATTTTTTCACTTCCTCTCTTGACCCCCTTTTAGCTTGGTGCCAAATATAGTTAGTTTAAGGCAATTTTACAGGGCAGAGACTCTGCAATAATTTCTCTCCCCTTAGTTTTCAACCTATCCCCTCTACCAATGAGGAGAGACAAATGCGAAGAGGTATGTGAAAAAGAAAAAACAGTTTACTAAAAGAAAACAGCAATGACCAAGAAATATAGACCTTAAACACAACCCTCACCCACAAATGGAGAAGAAGTCCCCCAAACTGTCCCAGGGAACACAGACAATATGGTGTCGATTCCACTCTCTGGGCCACACGGCCAAGACAGGGCACAAAGGCAACACAGCAAACAAGCATCCATGGTTCCAAAACTGCCTTCTGTTCCAGGCAACTATGGCAGCGGTGAAAAATAAAACCCGGAAAACATATTTTTCTCCTAAAGGAGTCAGTGCTGTTGAAACACTGGAAGAAACTTCTCAGCAGATGTAAGGCCAACACCCTCAGCAGCTGGAAATGGAGAGGCTCCAACACTTGACGACAGGCAGCTGTCCTGAGTAGCAGCAGCGGCGAGTCCCGGGCTCCAAAAGCGGTGGTTGCTATAGCAACCGTGGCAATGGTCGCTGTCTGTCTTTTTTTTTTTTCATCAGTTCCTGGGAAGCCGTGGCTAGCAGCCTGTCAGAGCACCCCATTTTCTGACGTTCTCAGGAGACTAGAAAGGATGAAACAGAGAGCTCCACGTGTCTGTCCTCATCACCCCTCCCCTTTCCATGATCCGGGGTAACACACAGACGTTCTTCCAACTCTGGGTCTTACAGAGATAGTACACTACCTTGGATGGATTGATGTAGAGAAGATATGGAGTACATGATTTTGGGTCACCCCTAATGCTACACTCTACCTCCTATCTCTGTAACTATGACAGTCCTTCTAAGCAAACAGCTTCTCTAGTAAAAATGTGCAACAAATCAAACTAATTAAAATTAATTAGTTCAGCTCATGTAGTAGTGTTTCTGAATAATGCTGAAGACCATAAATTCAAATTAAGGCATGCACAACTTCTTCCTAGGTTTGAAGAGAAGATATACCTTACCAAAAGGAAAAGGGAAAACCAGTCACCCTGTTAAACACCATTTACTGGGGATGCTTGAAAAAGTGACTGCACTGAAGGGTCATACAGCCAGATTTTATATCATAAACCAGAGAATGAAGCAGACAGAGCAATTAATTGTACCTAATGCTAATATACACATAAGGTTAAGTATGACAGCAGTCACATATGAGTGGAGTAATAGGAAGCTAATTATTGCAAAACCTTGAACATAGGCATTCAGTGCTTATAATTTTATTCATAGTATGCTTTCCTTGTTCTGAGACTCCTTCAGGGAGTAATACGGGTTGTCAGATTCAGTTTTCAAGGTAAAGGTGTGACGTATATGTGCTAATTTATATATGTTAATTGAATATATTTTTTCCTAATTGTTTTTTAACGAGATTTTACTATAAAGCACATGCTCCTTCTGGTTTTAGTAAGCTTTAAAATAGATACAAAGTATACATCATGCTCTATTGCCAAAATTAGCTGTTCTCTTCTTCCAAATATAAGGAATGAAATATAGTAGTTCTACCATTCTGTATTATATTTTATTTATTCTTCAATCTAGTCTTGTATATGGCTTCTGATTTTTGCAGTATGAATGAGGACCTAAGAACTGTGGGAACTGGACTAAAGTATTGCTCCTGACAGTTTCCTAAAAGCAGTTCTTGTTCAGCTGATTTTTTACATCTCCCACTTTTCTGCTTCATTCTATGGCTCATTTATAACCTGTTAGTTTTAATACTTGAAAATGTGATTTCTAGTTTTAGTATTGGTGTTTTACCTTTTGTCTTCAGGTGGTCTGAACAGGGAGCTTACACTTTACTGTCTACTTAGAACAGAATGAGATTAATATTAAATGGATATCAAACTCTTAAATATCCACAGAATTTGTAAAAAAAGTCACCATTGTGTAGACATAATTGGAGTGATACAAAGTTTACCTGACTACATATCAGCACTCTTGCTGCATTTATTATCCTGATTTTCTTTAACAGAATACTGCATGACTTTCATGATTTTATATTTTACTGCTACTACTAAGAAAAAAAAAAATCATCTTCACAGTCCTTCACTTTTGCAGTTTTAGTGGCATTAGCTCTTAATCCTAAACTAGAAATGTGTATTCACATGGGGAAGGAAAAATCTGATGTCATCTGGTTTTGGTTACATCATTATATTGATGGTTAAATAAGCAAAAGAGTCAGTCAGATTTGTAGCATTTTGTAAAATAGTACTGTCAATGCCAGAGAATTAAACTCACATTAAATATTTGGGTTGGACTTCAGGTGGTGATATTTCACTGCAAACTTAAGAGAGCATTGAGAGCATCTGCTTAACTTCCAAAATATGTGTTAGCTCTTCCACTTTTTCTCTGCAAGTTTTACAAGGTTTCCACCTCTACTAATGTGTGTGTGACACATAAAATGGAAAAAAAGGACTGTTGCAGTAAATATAAGTAAGATTTTGTAGTAGCTTTGACAATTTGTGTCAATTGCCTCATGCCCATGCCAAGTTCTATGTGGCAGGGTTTTTGGGGGTTGTATTTTGCGTGATTCAGTAATCTCAACCAGTGTAACCTTGGCTGGGGAGGGCAATGAATTAATAAAAACAAGTTCTGGTTTTTTTACTTGTTCTAAAGACTAGTTTAAAAAACATTAAGAATTAATAAAATGTTTTTTCTTTCAGGTGGGAGATGAAAGAAGATGCAGATCTTGAAGATGAGGAGGACATTATGGTAGAACACTTAAAAAATGTTTATTTGACACAAAGGACTTTCTCAGAGGATAAAGAAGAGCAATTACCTTGACAGATTTTGGTAGCACCTTTCTTCTGGATTCAACAAGATTAACTTAATATCATAACTCACAGTACTAGAAAGCTCAGAAATATATATCTTGAGTAGGACTTCTAACCTAAAGAGTGTTCCCTTGTTATTGTCTGGTCACGCTATCCAGGAAGCAATTGTTCACACATGCATTAGGTGAGGAACAGTGCAGGAAAATGTCAGTGTCACAAAACAGGGAGGTCATATCTCAGTACTGCAGAGGCATAAACCTGAATGACAAACTGAGAATTGTTTCACAAATATAAGACTCACTCTGAAAATAATGCAATTTTAGACATAGGCTAAGCAAATCTTTCTGGTTTCCATCCACCGCTTTGGAGTTGGAGTCAGCCTGCCCCCAGTTTGTGTCACTCAAGCACCTTTTCCCTCCTTTGGTGCTTGTTTACTAAATTACCCAAAATACATGAAAAGGGAAAGGTATAGACCATATAGCTACAGTCCTTTTTGAGTTGCTCCAGGATGAGTATGCTCGGCCATTATTCCAAATCAAAAATGCATCAGCATTAATGGCTTCACAAATCCTTACTTAACAGCCAGTGTATTTTATGGTTTAAAAAACACATAGAGAAATTTTAGAAGCTTTGAGAATAATTTTTTTCTTTAAAATAATTATTTGCAGGCAGTGCTCACAGGATTATCTTAAAAGTGAATTGAGAAAATAATAATTAATTTATTTTTTTATAAATATAGTAAAATTTCATATGCAAAGTAATCCTGGTTTGATATTAAAAATTTTATTAATGTTATATATTTATCTGAAAAAAATCTTTAATATTATTAAATATTTTTCTTACACACTGATTAAAACTATCAACATTTTCTATATGGAAGGTCTGATTCGTATCTCTTTAGCTCTACAGAAATAATACATAATTTTTCTGTAAGTTTCTTTCTTTAGAAGCCCAATGGAATTACTTTTTCTGCCTGATGAAGGACTCTGGCAGGATCTTACTGAGGGTGCAATCTGAGCAGAGTTGTGTTCTCAGCATATCTTCACACAGATGCTATTATGGACATAGACCACTTCAGTAGGATGAAGGGATTTTTTTTTTCCCTTGAAGGTTTCAGCAGCATCATGGGTAACCCTACTGCTAGTGCTGATTTAGGGTCTTATCTGAAATGCAGTTTTTTCTCCTCTTAATTGCTCTTTTTTCTTTTCATATAAAGCATCAGACAATTTAAAATTAAAATGTGAACCATCGCATCTTACAAATCTCTAAAGATCGTGTTACAACACTGCAACACAAAAGGGTTGTGAGGCACTGTAGCTTAGAAAATGCTAAAAACATTGTTTAAAAAATAAAGCAGACATTTTCCTCTGCTGCCAGTGTAGTAATTTCAGATCATAAAGGAAGAGATGAAGTGTGAAAACCATTTATCTTTGCTTTGTATTTCACCTTTGAAGATTACTGGTGGACTTCAGGTTAAAGGGAGTCTACAGGGATCTTCCATGACAGCAGGTTTGGTATTTTGACAAATGAGGCACACATATTCCAAGCCATACAAATAATGTGTTAGTGCAGATGGAAACTGGAGTTCAGAATATTCTCTCCTATTTTATCAAAATCTATCATACATAATTAACTTTTTGTATAGTCACATAAAGTGCCTATGTGGTGAAACTGATTGAAATACTTCTTGTGAAAATGCTCCCCTTCTGGGAAATACCTACTCTGAAGAGGATAAACTTTGCAAGTAAATAAGCTAAGTGAGAATAAAACCCATCACTTACACTTAAGTGGGAATATCCATGCAGTCATTTCCCTGGTCCTGTTGGCCACGCAATTTCGGATAAAGGCCAAGATACCATTGGCCTTCTTGGCTACTTGGGCAGACTCTGGCTCCTGTTCAGCTAGTTGTTGACCAGCAACTTTTCTGCTGTGTCACTTTCCAGTCACTCTGCCCCACACCTGTGGCATTGATTTGAGTTGTTGTGATGCAATTGCAAGTGTTGATCCTCATTCCACTGGCCTCAGCCCACTGATCCAGCTTCTCCAGATGCATTGTAAAGCCTTCCAACTCTCCAACAGGTCAACACTCCTGCTCAATTTGGTGTCATTTGTAAACTGGCTGAAGATGCCCTCTAGTCCCTGGACCAAATAATTGATAAAGATATTAAGCAGTATTGTCTCCAATACTGAGCCTTGGGGAATGCCACTTATGACTGGCCAATGACTAACATGCATAAGAACATAATAGCATAAAAGCTGAACCTTTGCACAGTATTTTATTTGGATGTTTTTCCTATCCAAACCTATATGTGCATCTTTTATGGCATCTGAGTGCAAGCAAATGTGTATTTTAAATTGTACTTGACCCACAATTCTTACTGAGAAATATCAGGGCCGAGAAATATCATACTGAGAAATACAAGATTATTCCTCTTTGGACCTGCTGGAAATGTAACCATTCCAAATAACTTTTAGGGTATAAAAGGGACATCATCCTGGCAATATTAATTAATGCTGAATACACACTTCTACAACATTCGTATTTATTCAATAAAATTACAGTAACAATAAGAATTGTACAACTAAGATCACTAAGTAACATGCCATTAGTTTATCAACACTTTGCTTTAAACTTAAACACTTCATTGAAAATTGAAAGAGCTGACCATTTTTCCATTGTGTAGATGTTTTCCATAGATGCTTGTGTGTAAAATTAGGAATACTTTTATAACTGTAAGACTGCTGCTTTCTTTGGCTTTTCTTTATAAAACAATAGTTCTATATTCTTTAAAAAGTTCTGCTGATTGTAATATTGATTTAAGATTAAATTAATTTTTAAGAATGATGCAATGTCCTGGCTCTTTGACAGTACTTATTGATCCAGGAATGTCTCACATGTATGTTTTAGCTTAAATAAATAAAAGCAACATAAGTCAGATTAGTTGGCTGCAGTGTGTGCCCCAAGTTTCATGACCACTGCAATCTGATTGTGTTAATTCCTCCTGAAAAGTTGGTCAAAAAAAACCCACTAAAGTCTGTTTTGTACAAAAGACCTTTCTGAGTGGGCAAGAGCTGGCCTCACTGTCTCAACTGAATTAGCTCAAAAGGAAGTTATTGTATTTATAGAAATTAATTGGATCAGATAGCACAAACTAGGTTAACTATTATCATTAATGTTCACACCTAATTATTATTTAACAATTTAATAAGCTGCTTTTACAAAACAGGCTTCAATGAGAGACTTCATAGTATGGAATATCTCTGATTAGGTTTGTTTAATGTCCCCTTCAGAATGCTCCATATCTTAACATCTTTCATCTTTTGAAAGGTAATTAATAAAATTAGAAGCAAGGCAAAATTGAAATTGCATTAATAATAATGAAACTCAAAAAGAGAGGAGAAAGAGATATTTTGGGAACAGCTTAACATTTAGACACGGCCCTGTTTTCTAGTGTCTGTTGTCCTGACAGACTCCCATAGAGCATGCTTTATTCTAGGAGGGGGAATATGATATGTATCTATGCTATTTGCTCAGGAAAAATGCACAATGGCAAATGGATGTTCTCTAATTCACCTTTACATCATCACAGCAGTGCATGGTAGACATGAAGGTCTCTTCTTCCAATTAGCTTCTGCTGGTAGAAATATTCCTTTTCCCTCTCAGCTGGAAGGTCTTCACAAAGTATTAGTGAGTCTTATGTACAGTAAAATATCAATTATATGCTGATATAATATTATTTTATGGAGTTCCAAAATATGTGCAATCATTTCTAGTGAGAAACACTACTCACACTCCCAAGGCAACAGTTGAAAGACAGAGGAATTAGATCCATTGCCAATTAGACATGAAATGAGAGAATAACTTGATGTCAACTGAGAGATTTCTAAGTGACTAGATAGATCTTGAGAAGGAAAGCCACTTTTCTGTAGCAATTTTCCATATTGTAAACAGTGTTATGAATGGAAGCAGAATCTCTAAAGCTATTCTGTGTGTAATGAGTAAAGGTGAGCTTGCTTTATCCTCTACCTTTGGACTCCAGCACTTGAAACGCTGACTAAACTAATTGATTTTGACAGGAAGGCAGTATAAGAAAAGCGTGCAAGGTCTTGAGCAGGTGGGGCAAAAGGCCTTGCAATATCCATCAGTAAATGATGGAGGAACCAGATTATTCCTCTTAAGCAGCATCATTTGAAAATTACCAATTATTACCAGCAAGTGAAACAATACGATGCTGACAGAAAAACACTAAAATCTAAGGACTCTTAGTGCAAAGAAGTAAAAATAAATCCAAATACTTTTTTTTTTTCCCCCTGAAGAAAGTGATTCTATAACAAGTGTCTCAGGAAGAACTGGCAGTTACCAAATACTGATGAGTAAAGTGCTCTTCTGAATTAAGACTGTATCTCTAAATTTAACAGACAACTATCCCTAAGCTGGCAAGAAGTCACTGAAATCATGGCTGATACAAATTTCACTACTGGATTGAAATCCTTAATATCCATGACAGCTTCAGCTGTTAGTAGGTTGCAAGCATCTCTTAGAAGATACAATGTAATATGCCCTACTAAAGAAAGTGTCTGATAATTATACATTTTCTGCCTATGAGGTAAAACTGACTAAAATACCTTTTCTGAAAATCCTCATCTTCTGGGGAACTCTTATGAATAAAATACATTTTGCAAGTGAAACAATCTAATCCAGAATAAACCCCCTCATAAACAACATGGAATTGTTCCAAATGGGCTTCTGTCCTTTAAATTCACACACCTTGTAATCTTTAAACAGTCACACTGGGAAACAAACAAACAAACAAACAAAAACAAAAAAAACCACCAAGCAACGGAAACACAAACAAACAAACAAAAATAAAAACTCAAAAAAACCCAAACACCAAAAAAAAAGAGAAAAAAAAAAAACCACAAAAAAAACCCAAAAACCACAACAAAACAAGACCGTTGTGTCCCGTTCACTAGGTTTTCTCCCTGATGCATTAATTCAGCAGTAACCCACTGGGTAACAGTAGGACGTTTCTGTCTTTCCCTTTAGAAGCATCAAGTTTAATGATTAACCCAGCACTGCCAAGCAACATCTGCACATCTTTTCAGTCCCTCCAGGGCTGGTGCCTCCCCCATGATTACAGAGATTCTGCAGTAAATTGATCCAAGCTCCAACTGACAACAGCCTTGGTGTCTGCACTGCCCTGAGTTACATCCATACTCTGTCTAGAAATAAGGCAAAAAACCACATAAACATGATCATATTCAACAGCTTTTATTTTTTCCAGTTATTATGTCAAGCAGAATACCATGTTTTCCATGCCAAACACAGGTTTCAAACTTCACTGATGATGGAGGTTTGCTGCAACAGCACATAACTTCTTCCTTTATGGGCAACTTTTTAGCAAAATGTAGCCATGATATTTTCTGAAAAATCCTTTTGCCAGGATTTTTTTCCTGAGGAGCTGAGGAGCCTCAGGAAAGAAATGTAAACAATAATTATCTGCTGCTGTGGAATACAACAGGTGCATCTGTGATTGGTACATATTGGTTGTTTCTAATTAGTGGCCATCACAGTCAGCTGGCTCAGACTATCTGAGAGCCACTAGCTTTTGTTATCATTCCTCTCCAGTTCTTTCTAACCTTCTG